AGAACACAGCCAAGCTCCCACCCAATCAGCTCCAACCCCACTGGCAGTTAAAAGGAAGAAACAGCTGCGATCACACACCACTCTTAGAAGCACGAAGCTGAAGACACCAGCCTGAAGATGACGAATGTGACTTCGTCGAAACGTCGCCAAGGTACTTTTAATTCTACGCGGGAGAAAACCCGAATAACTAAAGACATATGTCAAATAAATCTAAGAAAATGGGATGGATTTCTGAAAAGTTTCTGGATACAACTGTTGTCTATAATACACAGATAGTCTTTGACTTACAACCAAAATTGAGTCCAGAATTTTGATTATACGTTGTTGCAGTCATAAATTGAGTCAATTCAATTTTTTAACCATTTTTATGACAGTCTTAAAGTGGTGAGTCATTGCAGTCATTAAAACAATCATGTAGTTGTAAGTCCAAATCCAGCTTATTGAATGTGGGTTTTTTGCCACTTTTTGCAAAACATTTTTTGCAAAACATGCTCACATGACCACAGAATGCTGCAGCCAATTATATATGTTGCTAAACACTTGAAATCACTTTGCAGATGGCTTGTAAGTAACTTTCCAAGGTTGTCATAATTTCAAATAGTCCTTAAGTGGCCAGTCTTCAAATTATGACCAAAATAGAACTTGTCTTTAATTATTTTTTGTCCTTTTATTATTGGAGTTGCAGATCTGTTGCGATTTCAAATATCAGGGTATGTCATCAGCATAGCAGAGGTTTTTAAATAGTTATAAAAACAGGGATAGGGGAAACTATATGGTCTGTGATATTTGTTTTTAAGTACATACTTATTTTAATTTAAATGCCAGTTTTATGACAAAGAGTCTTGCAAGAATGAGTCTATGGTATGTGGAATGGTTGTGGATTCCTATAAGGTGAAGTTGAAGTAAATATCTTTTACATAGAGCCTCAGTATGATTTTAATCTTTTTGAGCTGACCTTATCTCTAAACAGAAGATACAAATATCAATATAATTGTAAATTATACAACCTTAGGAAAGACTATTTAATTGGTTTTCGGACAAAATGTGGAAAGAAGTTATAGCTTGCCCAATATTTCACTAGAGAGTAATTTAGAAGCCATATTTAGAAATTGCTTTAGAAAAGCAATACCGCTTTTAGGAAAGCTTGAGGTCCCTGCTTGGAAGTTTAGTCAGCACAACAGCTGTACACCAGATGTTATGCATTGTGACAAATACCATTTCCATCCAAACAATTTGCCTTTGCAACTGACATGGATACTCTGAGAAAGGAAAGCATGCTGAGCCTTAAGTGATCTGACAGTCACTTCTTTTCATTATCTTTATTGCATGTATACGAAATTAGTCAGTAGCAGCCAGGTTATCCAAAAATGTTTGAAAAATACCTTTCTAAATAACTTATTATGCTCTTTGAGCTTCTTTCAGCAATGCTGGATTACTTGAAATGTTTGCTCGCTTTGTCTGAAACAACACATTTGGATAAAGGATGAAAGTATGGAAAACTGGTATGTTGAAAGGCTTGGGACTTTGGTATTTGGCAGGAGAAATAAATCTAAATATTTTGGAAGAAAAGTAGTCTACACTTCATTTTTCAAGTGCTCCAAAACTTTTGGTATTCAGATACAAATCCATGACTGATTTCTCATTGCCTATAGCAGACAAGCATCAAATGTAATAGGAGAAAATGCAGCCTCTTTTTTACTCTCTCACTTTATTAAAAAAATGACTGATTCAGTCATTTGGTTCAATTGTATATAATTTTCAGAGACTACCTGGACAAGTCCCTGCAGTTTTCTTGGCAAGGTTTTTCAGAAGTAATTTGCCATTGCATCTTCTCGGCTCAGGCTGAGACAAAGTGGTTGACCAGCCCAAGGTCCCCCAGCTGGCTTTGTGTCTAAGGCAGAATTAGAATTTAAGGTTGTCTGGCTCTCTCAGTTTTAATATCAGTACTTAAATAATGAGAACGTGATAAAAAAAGAGAGGCTGCTATTTTCTCCAAACAGTTCTGTTAGCAAAATGTGCCTTCTTAACGAACTGGTTTTCATTTAAATTAAAATTAAGCATATGAACTGTACCACCACCACCCCCCCCCCGCTCTTGAATGAGAGTTCTACAGAAACAATACTCTATGCAAGTATGCTGATTTCCCTTTAAATTGAGTCATTGGCTTCTTCCTTTTTTTCTCTACAAAAGAAAGCCTGACATTTGTAAAATGCCCTTTATTGTGCTTCAGGTCACACTTGTTTCCTTACACTGGCTCCAGGAAATATATTTTGTGTCTGTTATTGTGTTCATGTTTCAGTTTTGTCCTGCATCCTTTCATGTCAAAAATAGATTTCAGGGAATTATCTTATTCAGCCTATTGGTGTCCTGAAAGCAAATTGTATGTTGGATGATTGAATCTGTCCCTTAGAATAGACCTTGACTCTTCTTGAAATTGTACAAATATGAAATGAACATGAAATGAACATTCAGATGCAGCAAACACCATTCCTCAAAGAAACCACAATGACTTGGGTCCCTTTCAGTTCAGTTCAGTATATTGGTCTAATCTAAAACTTTTTATTGCCTGCAGAAACCAATTCTAAAACCGACATGATAGAAAGCAGGCTCTGGTCTAAATAGATGTTATTTTTCTGCTATGACGTGGTTTATTAAAATAAATAAATAAATAAGGCTATTTAAAGTGCTGTTGGTCATGGGAAAGCAAGAAAATAAAAAATTTCCAGAATAAATACTTGTAAAACATGTTTCAGACATAGCTGTAGATCATTTGTAGCTTGATGGTAGAGATATGCAGCTAGGCAGACTGGACCAGGGAAAGTTCACTGTGTGCTTTTATTTTTAATTTTGAGAAAGTTTTCTTATCTAGACATTTCACCACTGTAAGGCACAAGTGGAGGGATTCCACTTACATTTGGATTCTTTATAAGATGAATTTAAAAAGTATGGCTTTGCTACTCTTCTTTATCTTCTTCTTGCACTGTTTGCTCCTCTCTGGACTTGCTCTTTTTGTTTCCCCAATTGTCTCTTCCATATCCCTTTGCTTTTGCTTCATTGGCCACTTCTCCCACCTAATCTCTGCTTTTGCTTTTGGTGATCCATCTTTTTCATTCCTCTCTTTTAGCTTTTCTGCCTAAACTGTGCCATCATATACCTCTCCATTTCAGTTCCTGCTTGCTTTCATCTCTTTCCTCATTGCCGAATCCAGAATTCAGCTCTCCATTTTCTTAGTCGTCCCTCCCAACACAGGAATTAGTCCAACTCCCACAGTCCCAGAAGTAATGACTATGAATGTATGTATGCATTTATAGGTTTGTGCTTGTCTGCAAATATTTTAAGTACAACTTCATGCGGTTTGGAACACCAACCCAATGCGCCTCTCAAATTCATGAACAGGCCTCTGCTCACCCTAAGTTCATACTCCTGTTTTACAGTTTGGCAGGAGCAATCACATGACACTCCACAACAGAACCTTTTGTTGCTATAAATATAGAATTATTTTTAATGTTAAAAATAAATACAAATCTGCCATACGTTGGATGAAAGACAAATCATTTCCCTCATATAGGGTGCATTCCAGGATTCTGTATAAAATGATCTATACTAATAAGCATACGTTCCCTGATTCAAATCCTACCATTTATAGATGAGCTAGGAAAAAACATACTAAGTAGGTACCATCAGCAGGAAGGTGTGTTGGATACATTCGTCACCTTGAGTTATTTGTAAAAATAATACAGGCAAGATATAAATAAATAAAATAACACTGAGCTGCATTTTTATATCATTCCAAATATGTGAATGATGCATTTTAGCCAACAATGCCACAGTGTTGTACTAGATTATTGAATTTATCAATTTTCTGGATCCACACAACAATTAAAATGTAAATTAACAAAATAGGCCAAAAGAAACCAAAAGGAAAAAAAAAAAGGTTGAAGCTTTGGCATGTAATATGAATGTATCTAAGTTTGTCATGTAGCTGGCTAAAAATGTTTGTTGTGAACTTATTAGACTTTACCTACAGAAATGGCAGAATTGAAATCTGGGTTGCCATTGGTGTTGCCTTTAAGTTTTTCCATTTTTTCACCTTGTTTCTTCATTTCTTTTGTTGGGGAAAATATAAGCAGCAAACAAATGAAGCTATGGTTTTGAAGAAATCTATTTAAGACTTACAGTGAAGTTTTGAGTAGATGTTTTCAGAACTCTCATGCTTTTTTTTTACACATAAAGCACACTACATAATGCAGAACAGCTTTTAGAATATATGTAAATGCACATTTTTGTATGCATCCTTGCCTTCCTCTGGCTCTGTCTTAGTTCAGTCTTCATGTCTGTTCCAGGATTATCTTGCCAAAACTTGAAGAAGAAAAAAAGCTTCAGCATATACCTCAAATCATTTAGGATCTCACAGTTTGAGAATTGTAATGATTTATGGATGGGGAATGAGTTTGGTTTGAATTTCTTTTGGAACTGTTAAGCATTGTGCCTTGGCTTACTCTATTGTTAGAGTTTAGTTTTATTTGATTTTTCTAAATATCTTTTTAACTTCTTAGCAAAAAGGAATAAGAAAAACAATCCTCTCAGGTTCTTGAAGGCTTGGGGTTTTAACTATCTATTTCTATTGATCTCATTTTTGTATCCTTGGAATAGAGATCATCGCAATAATTTAAGGCTTCTAGGGCAAAGTTTTAAATTTCAGGAAATGCACCCAACCTCCCAGTGTCTTTTTCAATATTTTTTTTTCTCAGATAAAATGGCAGTGATAAGCAGTCCAGCAATATTGGCAAAATGCAAGGTTCAGAAACAGAATATGCAGTACAGCACTGAATTCATATCATAAAGAATAGTTGCCAGCATCATATTCTACTTTATCAAGGAGAGGCCAACATGAGCATCTTGATTTTGATCTTCTTAGTGTAACCAAGTGTTTTCATTTTTGCTTATTTTCCTAGTAGATGTGAAAGACTACGAGCCACCATTTGGTTCAAAAGTACGAGAACATCCTTGTGTAGAAAGCATGAAGGACAATGTTTTGAGGGACAGAGGACGGCCTGAGATTCCTAGTTCATGGCTCAACCATCAGGTAAGACAAAGCCTCAATTATTTTTGGAAAAGGACAGTTCATGGCAAAACTGGCCAGGTGTCACATATGGTGGTCATGGTAGAAAATAATTTCAGTTTTTGAAATGATTCAAATATGTTTTAAAACTAAACTAAACTAAAACTAATATTAAAATATAATTCCAACTATTATTTCTACATGCTGTTCTTCCCCTTGAAGTCCTGTTTACTGGACCATTGCATTCAAGGAGCAAAAACAATGGGCAAAAAACTAAAAGAAAAAGAAAAACAAATAAAGATTGTGCCTTAAGATTACTCAGAGTTGTAAAAAGGTCTTGCAGTATGAGTGCTAGTTAATGTGATGAATGCTATTAGAAGCACTGCCCCAGCAAAGTGATGATAGGATTGCTGTTCTGTTTTATTATATTCATTTTCTGCTGCATTATTTCTCTCAATTCTGCCTTTTCAGTTGATACAACTTTAATAATATGGAACCCCCTCACTTTTATTCTTTCACCAGAGCATCTTATTGCCATCGACCATGTTTAGTCAGTAAAATAATTCTTTGTATTAGATTTCAGTCAAAAAATCTGCCTGTGGTATTTTTAAGTTGCTACTAAGGTTTTAAATTCTTGTATAAAACTCTAAACTAAAACAATTATTATCACTTTATTTAACCCTTCTGTTTTTCCATGCAGTTTCGTTGTTGTTATATACCTGTTTTTCATAATACTATCTTTGAAATGAAGGTTATACTTTCTCTTTCATTTCTATAATGAAATTTGTTCACATTAATGATTTCATATCAATATTTAATATTCAATTTAACTTAATGTTGGTAGTTTCAGAATGCAGAAAACTATAATTTTTATAATTCCAATTATATTGTTGACAATTGTCAAAATCAACTATGAAGTAAATCTTACAATTAAATGTGGCATTAAAAAAAAAAGACGGACTAGTTTTCATTCTTACTTATAACCAAGAAAATTCTCCATTGAAATAAAAGGCCAAATATTTTAGCATAGGATTTAATGAATTAATATGCATGAGCTAGAGGTAAGACATTACATAAATACTCATATGATTAATATCTTCCCAATATTTAATCTTGACAAGCCTGGAATTAGCCATTATTTTCTAGAATAAAACACCCATAGTGGAATTCCCATTATGAAAGAACTGTAATTAGCATCACAATAACTTGAATGTTAGATTAAAACCTGAAGTTTGGAGCACAAAAAGAAGTTTGTGCCAGTTAACTTCCTTCTGGTCTTCCACTTTATCAACCCGTGCATCAGTTGAATATCATGGAATACTTTTGTGTCTCAGATAAGGACACAGATAGAGGAACCTATCCAGAACCAGATAAGAATCAGAATCCAGTTTCCATATGTAAACCATCATTCTATGATAAGCAGGAAAATTCATCCAGACTTTTAATTGGCAGTATATAGCTATGGATTAATAAATCAGATTTCAAACGAGTGCAAGGCAAGTAAATGCGGAAAAAAAGTTCTGGTCACCACATCACAAAAAGCTGAACTTTTTTCTTCAATAGGGTTATTTTGAAATTCATGCCTTTTACTTTGCTTTTTATTTTTCATACCACAATTATTGACAAAACTGGTAGTGGCCAGGGCATGCCACTACTAATAAGTATTAGTGGGAGCTGCCTGAATGTATTAATTGCAGGAATCATGAATGAACATGATGGTTACTTATTTTGCTATTTTTTAAAAATTATTTTTGTTAATTTTGTATGAATTGCTGCCAAAAATGTTTGGTGGATTTTTTTGCTCAAACATCTGAATAATTTGGCTGTTTCTGTGTTATGCATACTGTGGTAACTGCTGCTTTACCCAAGCCAGGAAAATATCTTGGTCCATTCAAGACAATTCAGTAGACATCTGTTAATTTGTCCAATGCCATCTCTTCTTTAAATATGGCAAACACATAGTAAAATCCCAAACTGCATTCTCATCACCATTACCTAGCTGCCCCAGTTGGAAAACAAAACAAAAAACTATAATTTTAGTGTAAAAATTCTAATTACAAAACAGGACTTAATATATTTATTGTAGGGTTGCAGATAATGACTCCTTAATATTTCAGGGTATATTCATCTTTCAAAAATGACTTACATAAAGTAGTAACCTGAATTATTATAACTTGTGACAAGCTGGGTTTCTTGTTTTCACTTAAGATAACATGAATAGACGCTGTAAATTAGAATTCTATATTTTCTCAATTATTACTATTTATTACATGAATAGTTATATGAGGACATTTTTTTTACACACTTGTACCCTTTGCAGACCTGCTTTTTAAACCTTTTATTGAGTCCTGTGTCTTCCAGAGTTCAAAGGCGTTGCTTTATGTGCTCATTTCAGGGTATCCAGAAGGTGTGCGAGACTATTGTTGAGTGTTGGGACCACGATCCTGAGGCCCGGCTGACGGCACAGTGTGTAGCTGAGAGGTTCAATGATTTTGATTACCAAGATGGACTCTCGGGAAGAAGCAGCTCAGAAGAGAAGATCCCTGAAGAAAACTCTGGCAACAGCACCAAGTAACAGCTGGCAAGACCAGAGGAATTCTCCCTTTTAGGTTCCCTGTGCTCAGCCTTGGAATAAGAAGGAACCTCTACCATCGGACCCACCTTCTGTGACTCTCTGAAGAGCTGCTTTTTCTTCCATCCTGCAGCTCCAGAGAACAAGGAATGACTTTACGGGGCAACCATAATGGGCCACGTGCCATGGCATAGTAGTCGCTTCCTTAAGTGTGCCATAAGATAAGTTACGTTGGTGCTTCCTGAGAAAATAGGACTATATTATCATGCCAATAACAGTTGCACTTTATCAAGGTTTGTATATAAAACTATGGAAGATCAATGCTAGATACACATACACAAAGCTGTACAGAGTCTTCCAGGAAACTTCTAATAGATAGAAAATTGCAAATGTTTGCTAAAATACTGGCAGCAGTATTGCTTTATTCACCTCACTCAAACCATAAAAAACTGTAAGTAACTACACTACAAATGCTTTCAATTGCTGCACCTTTTTTTTCAGATGAGGGGCAAAAAAACCAAATAGCAACTGGATATATTTGAGCTTTTTTTTTTAAAAAAATGACATTATGCAATGGTATTCAGCTGGTTCCTGAATGTTTAACATTTAGAATTTATGGATTATTGGACCATTCCCAGTCAGGAATTTTGGTTTTCTTTGTTTTTTCTCTTCAAACATAGAATTTGAAAAGATTTTCTTTTTGTTGTTGTTCTTTAATGTCAACAAACAATTATTAATACCCTTCCCCTCCTTTCAACTTGTACTTCATGATATCAGCCTTTATACTGACTACAGGTTTCTCTCCCCCCCCCCCCGTCTTCCCCCTGGAATTGAGAAGCACCAATTATAATTGCAACAGATGTTTTGCATTTGCCATGCATTCTGGAAAAAGTAGATTCCTCCTCTTTTCCTCCACCCCTTTTGGATCAATAACATCATGTCTAGTTTCTTAAGCTCTTAAATTCACACTTGATTTTGTGCCCAGAAGGAATAGCAGATGAATTCCTTCCTGAGTATCTGGATTTCTATGATGCTTTGGCAAAAATTTGCTCCGCACTCTGGGCACACACTGCTTTTGGTTCTTGTAACATACATCATAGCCAACCCTGCTTGCAGTCAATGCTTAGAAATGCTATACATTCCTAAACTGATCCCCACAGGCAAGGCTTACATTGTTTTAGTCTTCCAAAATATTTAGAATTGGGGCTGGCTTCATCAGGAATTTTAAATGGCGGGATTTGAATTGTTTTGTGTTTTCTTGCAAGAAATGCCTTCTCCAACCTAGTGCCCTCCAGATGTATTGAACTGCAAACCTGTGATAACAGTTGGAGTCCACCAGAACACTGGGATGGGGATATTTCTGGTAATGGGTCATTTTTGAAAGTTAGCTACTATTTTGTAACAGGAGGCATTCTTTCCTTTCTTTTTTCATTTCATCAGAATTAGTCCATGCCAGTCAGAAACAATTCTTCTAAGTTGAAAGATATATTACAAGTGCAATTCTTTTTCATGTAGGAGATAGGTGATTTTTCTGAGAGTTCCTATTTTGTGTATTCAATAGGAAAGAAAAGATATATTCATATAGGAATTTTTAAAACTTTATGGAGAAAAATATTTATTTTTTAAAAAAAATTCCGCATCCGCCTTTTGTGTTAAATGTTTTATAAATATTTAAGCATTAAGAGGGCAGAGGCTGAATAAAAAGAAACCAGATTTTAAAGTAACAGGAGTTACTAGTAAGGTAGATTTAGAAAAGTGTAATGTTGAATAGTGATGGGATCTGATGACCTCTCGTGGTGGTTGCCTAGAATAGCAGCATGAAAAACAGCTGCACAGAAAGTAAAAATGAGCTTTCTTTCAAACCGGAAAGGAAGGTACAATCCTGTGCTGCATACCTAAATTGCTAATTTTGGAGCCTACTTTAAATGTTACTGTATATTGCTACCATTTACCTCATAAGTTTAGGTGTTCAGCCTGAAGGCCTTGAGTACAAGTCCCTGAAGTTGTCACTCTTCTAAAATTGTCACCAAATAGTATTGTTTGAAAAGACAGAATGAATGGGCTGTAAAATATGTTGAAGATAAATAATTTTACTTCATTTATATATAAGTGAAATCAGTGTGTCCTAACTAAGGCAACTTTAAGGGATATGGACTCCAGGATTCCCCAACCTGATCTGCCCCTCTTAAAATGGATGAAGTTTTTTTTTTAATGAGATGCATTGATCTAAAAGAGGATTAGACAAAATTATGGGGAAAAATCTATTAATGGAGAGTCATGGCTATATGTTATTTCAGGAAGATGCTGGTGAGTCATAGCGCAGAAAGGAAGCTGCTTTTTTTGAGGATTTCTTTGAAGCAACCAATTCAGTCATAAATAAGAACAGCATGGTAGGCTTTCATAAGACAATTAGCCTTATATAGAGGCCATCCGCTTCCAGACCTATCTGCTTAGGAGATTCAAGTAAGGTCAGTATTTAAATTGACAGCCTAGGTCTTCCCATTGAAACTGGGTTGTGTTTGTCTGTCATGCACTGGCAAAAAACAGAGAGAGCACTAAACTCCTGACAATCCTTTTCCTTTTTTTGTATTAGTTCATTTAAAGAGATTTTTTTTAAATAAAATTTTCATGAAAAACTTAAAAAGTACAATATATATGAAAAGAGAAATGTTTGCATATCTAAACTCTTTATCAGATTTTTTTCAAGTACTTATCATATTTTTGTATAAATAAAATATTGTACCCAATGCTTTTGTTTAAAGTCTTATTCGTATTAAAATACTTCAGTGTGTTTCCAGATTGTCAACATAATGGGTACAGCAGTGATGTTCCTGTGAAGACCATTTCTGATGTTAACCAAGCTCTCTGTCCTTGTGGCTTTATATCTTTTAGATTATTTTAATTAAGAAATAAGGAAATAAGCAGTATTCTATGCAATACTAGCTTTTAATATCAACTTTGTCCCCAAGAAGGCTTCTGCTTACCAAATAGGTTCCAAAATATTCTTACATAATAAAAATGGATGACGGCTGTTTGTTTGGAAATGTGCCTCTCCTCAGAAGAAAAGTCACTGCATTGTTCTGCATATATCATGTTGCTCAGTTGGTGTCTGGGTGTTTTATCCTTGGGGTGGACAAGCTTCTGCCATAGTGTATTCTTGGGTTTAAAGTGTGCTGGCTGAAGATCCTCCTGAGCTTTTTCGATATTTCTGCAGTGTATGGAATGACAACATTGCCTTATTTATTGTTCTCTTCTTGTCTGTTATGGAGGAGTTCCTGCTGGGTCTTTTTTGGGTTTTGATGAAGGCCCAGTTGGGATAGCCACATGTTCTGATCATTTCATTTTGTGCTCCAATGGGTGGTGAAAATCAAAATGTAAATATTGATCTGTATGTGTGGGTTTTCTGTACACTTCAGTGTTAAGGTTTCTGTCTTCCTTAATGTGTACTGCACAGTCTAGGAAGGCTAGACTATTTTCCTTAACATCTTCTCATGTGAATGTGATGTATCTGTCCACAAAGTTGGTATGTTTGGTGAGTGCTTCCAATTCTTGTGTTTTGATCTTGACCCAAGTATTGTCCACATACCTATACCATGAGTGGGTGGAATTCCTGTGAAGGAATTTAGGGCATTGGTTTCTACCTCTTTCATGTAGCGATCGGCCACAATGGGGGACATAGGTGAACCCATGGCGTAGCCGTGTTTTTATCTGTAGAAACCATCATTGTATTTAAAATAGGTAGTGGTCAAACAGAAGTCCAGCATGGCACATATGTGGTCTGAGCTGAAGTTGGTTCCATCACTTAAAGTGCTGTCTTGTAGCAATCATTTCTTCACTACTGTGACAGCCTGAGTTGTTCAGTTCAGTTTCCCATGTGACCAATCTCTACATGGAAGACGTAGAAACCAAAGCCCTAAACAACTGAGAATCTCCATAGACATAAAACAATGACAAGCAATATATCTATGCCACAAATATAAATCATCTGGAAAGCCAATAATCCATCACAACTGGACATTAAGCAGTATATTTTTAAGTAATAACAGAGATAGGCAATTGCGTTAACCTTCTTTTTGCTTTTTTCATCTTCTAGTAATATTTGTTTAGATTCTGACTGTTAATTTGTTAGAAAAAGCTGGTGTCATTATTTGTACATGCACATTAGACCCTTCGTATTGCATGCACATTTGTTTTTCAGATGAAATGCCTTCCTAACTGCTATTTTTTTCTCATTTTTTTCTTCGTGACTTTTGAAATATAGATCATAACATAACATAATTTTTTGTACAGAATTTTAGATTCTCCTAGATATTTTGCAGAATTTCTTTTCACACCTACATTTCTTAAGTTCTTTGGTTGAGAACTGTGGTTTGGGAACCTAAAATACATTTGTTTTTAACTGCAATGAAGTCTGGTTTGACCAAACTCAGTATTTAAAAATGAATGTCTAGAACAGTATGAAGTAGAAATGCCAAAAGATCTAATTTAAAATGAGCCTGGCAACCCATTCCTATGAAGACGTGAACTGTCATGTCTTTCACGGAACCCTTTCCAAACAGATAGTTAAGATTAGCTCTTTATTCCTGGTATGTGAAGAAAAGCAGCTTTATCCTCTTATTCACAGTTGTTTCATTCGTATATTATGGAATAGCCTTCCCCTGCACTCACAAATAGACTCTGATCCCATAATCTCTTTGCTGATGTGACTAGGGAAAATATGAAATCCAGTACTTGGGGAAGATATTAAATTGGTGAAGAATATCCCCAATGGAAAACTGCAACTTTCATATCATTTTAAGGAAGTAATTGTTAAGACTTGAAGGCAGTGATACAAAAGATCTCTACTACTTCAGTGACAATAATGAGCAATGAATGACAGCAACTAGTAAACAATCATCAATGTATTAGCTTCATAATAAGCGAAAATTAAACCAAATTGGTATTATTTGTTTAGATTTTTTTCATCCTTTCTGAAATGGATATGCAACATATGAACACACATACTACTCCACACAAATTAGACTGCACTAATCTTTCCAGGTTTGAAAATATAATTTTGCAGTCATTATGCCTTAAAACACAAGAAGCAAAGTTTTCACAAGATGGTATTAATGCAATACAATGCCCTCCCCAGAGATTTGGCCTACTAACAAACTGAACAATCTTATCCTGATGGATTATAAAATCAGAATGTAAAGGAACGGCTGTCTCTCCACAGCTTGATAATTGATTATGTGTCATCAAGTTGTGGTTGACTCTTACTAAGCACATAGAAACATCATTTTCTCCATGATGATCAATTCTAACCTACTCTTTCAAGTTTTCCAAGTGCATTTATCACCACAGTGACTGAATTTATTCACTTTGCTCCTGATCATCCCCTTCCCCTTCCACTTTTCCCAGCATTAAAGCCTTCTCTAGGGACTTAGGTCTTTGCATAATGTATCTGAAGTAGAATAATTTGAGCCTAGTAATTTGTGCCTTGAGTTGATTTGTTTGATGATCCATTGATTCGTTTTCTTGGCTCTCCACAGT